GCCACCTTAGGTGTACATGGCTGGCGCCTCAGCCGGTTGAGCTATAGGCGCCGAGCCAGGTCACAATATCTTAATAGGATACATAAAATACAATTTTTAAAGGAAATAGACTAAGAAAGCAGAGCATTTTATATTGTTTCAAGAATCTTTTTTGTTTCATTTATGTAGAGAGATATACAGGGTGGCCATAAAGTTCATGTGCAATTGCACAAGGGCGAGATACATTCATCCATGTGTATGTGTGTAAAACTAGGTCACAATGCAAAATGTAGGTAGTTATCCAAGAAAAAAAATCTAAAAATACTGAGTTTGTATATTTGAATGTTACTAATAATTCTGAGCTTCACATTCTCCCTCTGTAACACAGGGGTAAGAATAGCTATTTTGATGGTGTGTTATGAGGATTAAGGGCAGTAAGATATGCAAAGTAGCTTACATAGCAGATGTGCATACAAGACAAGCAAAGAGGATCCCTTTACCAAAACTAATCCATTTAAAACTTAATTGATTAGGGCCCTGTCAAGTGTGTACAGGATTACACGTCAAGACCTTACATTCATTAAACAGCAGATGCTGGCATGAATGTAGACAGAGAGGAACTCTTACACACTGTTTAGTGGGACTGCAAACTAATATAACCTCTGTGGAAAACTATGGAGATGCCTCCAAGAATTTAAAGTAGACCTACCATTTGATCCAGCAATCCCACAGCTGAGTACATACTCAAAGGAAAAAAGGTCATTTTATAAAAAGGAGACCTGCACTGGAATGTTCACAGTAGCACAATTCATAGTCAGAAAAATGTGGAAACAACCCAAGTGTCCACAAATACATGAATGAATTAATGAAATGTGGTATATACATACCACAGAGTACTACTTTGGCATAAAGAAAAATGGCAGTTAAATAGCATTTGTGACAACCTGGAAGGAACTGGAGACCATTCTTCTAAGTTAAACATCACAGAAATAGAGAAACAAACACATGTCCTCTATGCCAGGTTGGAACTGATCAATCAACATTTAAGGGCACACATGGAATAAATCTCAGTGAAAGTCAAGCTGGGGAGGTAGGAGGAGGGGACAGGTAAATGCACACCTGTTGGGTATGGGTGCGGGACACCCTTATAACCTTGACTCATTTTGTGTAAAAACAAAGCATGTAAAAAAAATATACGCATACCCTCTAATATTCCGGGAAAAAAAAGATTGCTCAGTTAAGAGTATTTTACTATAATTAAAAATTTAAAAAGAAAAAGTTCATTAAACTAATTTTTAAAATACTTTCTGATTAAAAATACAATAATTTGAAAAAATTTATCAGTGAGAACATAGCTTAATTAACTCACTTTGTTTATTGATTTTTTTTAAGGTCATTGCTTCTTAATTCAGTATAAGTGTTTTTAATTTACTTATCTGTTCACTCAAGTAATATTTTTAGAAGCTGGAATACATCCAAAGAAACACGATAGAAACTTTGAGGAGACTCCAAACTTGTCCTAAGAAGAACAGTTAAAGAATCTGCTGAAAGCCTATGGAAAAGAATATGTAGAATGATACTGATTTAATATATTAAAAAGGATTGCCTCATAGTGGAAAGGTGAAATGTGTTCTTGGCAGAAGGAAGAATGACGACCAATTTATTAGAAGTTTCAGGACCATAGATTTTAGCTCAAAATCAGAAACAAAAAGTTATACCTGAGACTTGTTCCAAAATATTATAGCTACTGCAGAAGGTACGCTCCTCTGGGAAGGCAGGGTGATATGGTTGGAGTTGACATCGTGTCTTTAACCTTGAAGATTCTGTGATTTTTAGACAAGTTTTGTTGGGCCATTTTGATAGGCCATATACTAAACTTTTCTTTGACATTGAAGAGTCCCAGGTGATGTGTAAATCAGATTTTATTTTTGCATAAATAGACCTTAAAATTAAGTCCAGAAATATTAAGGATCTTGCATATTTTTATCTGTCAGAGAATCTATGGATTTGTCAGATCAGTTTCCATCGATTCATAGGCATTTTGCTTATCCCTGACTATATTCTGAATGTCTTCCATTTTTCATTTATTGCATGTGTCTTGAGTACTTGATTAGAGACAAAATAAAAATCTATCTATTCGCTCATTTTTAGCAGTTCTAAGTGTGAGTGAACCTTGGTGCAAATATAGACAAGACGGGGGAATGTAAGTGTTAAAATATCAATAAGAAAGAATAAAACTTAGAAGTGTCCTGATGGGCTCGGCGCCTATAGCTCAACCGGCTAAGGCGCCAGCCATGTACACCTAAGGTGGCGGGTTCGAATCCCCAGCCCGGACCCGCCAAACAACAATGACGGCTGCAACCAAAAAATAGCCAGGCGTTGTGGCGAGCACCTATAGTCCCAGCTACTTGGGAGGCTGAGGCAGGAGACTCGCTTGAGCCCAGGAGTTGGAGGTTGCTGTGAGCTGTAATGCCATGGCACTCTACCCAGGGGGACAGCTTGAGGCTCTGTCTCAAAAAAAAAAAAAAAAAAAAAAAGAAGTGTCCTGATGGTGGCTTATCTTAGAAAGGGCATGATTAGTATCACCTAAAAGGAGTATGGTAATTATAGGGGAAGATTTCTTCATCTGTAGCTTTTGGAAATGCTTTCAGTGGCTTTAAATCTTGTTGAGAAGGTAGAGTGACTTAAAGGATATCCTAAATTATAATGGAGTTTCAAAACCTGGAAAGTGACGGCCTCACCTCTGACACAATTTATAGGTGAGGAATCAGAGCTATAAAGTTGGGGAACTGATGCCTAAGTAGGAAACAGCTAGGAGAAAACATATGTTCCTTGACTTTGAATCTACTGCTGTAGTATCAGTCTGGATGAGTTCTTTTCCTGAAACATTTCCTGTGCATCTGATGGCCTTAGGTGGCTCCGCCTTTTCTCTTAGGTGGTTTAGCTATGGCTTGTAATTAGGACTAGGATCTTCCATTTTTCACAGTCAGTAGTAATGGAGAGTGGCTTTGTCTGAACAGATCATTCTGAATGAAGCCTTAGAGATGTTCTCATTCAGAAGTTTTCAAATGTTATTTTAACAGTGAAGCCCTTTGTTCAAATACTATTTATGCAGCAGATGGTCATATATAAAGCAGATTTTGTGAAAGGTAAATGATCTAGTTGAAATGAGGACCAATGAACTTGGGGCCACATTGCCTACTCCTGCTTTTCATCCCATGACCAAATACCCATTAAGCTCCCTAGAAATACATTTTTTTCCAAAAAATTTAATTCTTGGCTTTTGTTTGACAACCAAGGCTTCTTTAAATGAAGGGAAAGGAGAAATTAATTAGAAACATTTTAGGGGAAAAAAATCACCTTGTGTAATATGACAAAAAATAGCCTAGAATAGGGGATTGCAGTGGGGATGACTCCAGAGAATCTAGGGGATGGGAAATGTAAGTAAATCTGAGGAAGCTGCCTTCATGCTGCTCAAAACAGGTGTAAATATTAATTAGGAGTATAATTGACTCATCATGTCTAATACCTTTCTAAAATAAAACAAAATCGGTGACAATACACATACTTCTCTGAGTGTAAATAATTGTTGGTGCTGAAGTGTGGATGCCTGTCAAGGTCTGCAGGGAATTCTGCAAAATAGTAAGTGATTTGGACAAGCGGCCCTGTAATCTGATAGGACAGTGTCTTTAAAAGAAGCTGGTTTTCCTTTTCATGGATTGTCTGGAACTCAGCTGGAACCTCCAGACCCTTCCCCAGCTGAGGTTCAGTGATCTCTGGATAAGGGAAATGGAAGGGGGGCCAAGAACATGTGATCACAATTCAGTGGTCACCCATCCATCGACGAATTCAATTCAAGGCCAGGGTTAGTTGTTACCGATGTTTTTAATGATTACATTGCCAGTGAGCTCATGTTTTATAATTTCCTGGGCCCTGAGTCTCCCTCGAGGTGGTGACATTTTTTATAACCCGCTTCAACGCGTTTACTTTCCCAAATCCGTGACGGAGTGTTAGGGAGCACCTGCTACTTGTCTGGGGACGCTTCCTGCCCTGCACTGTGGATGGTCTTGGCGCACGCGGGTAACTCTCCCTCCGGGAGGAAGTGAGTCTGGGTCCCCGTGGTGCCGATGACCAGCACGTTCCTCTTTAAGTCGATGGAGCACTGGTGCCTCCTGAGCATGTCCAGGCCGAGGAGCATGTCCATGGGCTGCTCCTCCAGGATGGAGAAGGAGGACTGTAAGAAATCACCTTCGATCTGAATCTGCGCCAGGTGCACACGGCCGAGGATCCTCTGCGTGCCCACGCCCTTGGCGACCCCCGCCCAGCGCCGGTCCACCAGCCTCATGATGTTGCACCTGTCAGCGCAGGCCTGGCTCATGATGGTCATCTGGGCGCCCGAGTCCACGAACGCCTTCAGGGGATGCCCATTCACCTTGCAGTTGATGTAGAGCATGGCCACCTGCCCGAAACTCTCGGGCGCCTCTTCCATCGCTATGTTCATGTTTTCTTCGATGTTCTGCTGCCGGATTTCTTCCTCTATTTTGGCCTGAGCTTCCAGATCAAACGGGTCAGCCGAGTAGAGGCGAAGTCTCTCTTGCTCCCTTAAAGCCCGTTCCCTCTGCTGCTCCATGAGGACCTGCGTGAAGGTGTCGAGGTTCCCACTGAGCAGGGCCTCGGCCAGCGCGGGGTTGCGTTCCTTCAGCAGCGACAGGTCGTGCGGGCTGGACAGCAGCATGCTGCGGATCAGCGCCGGGCTGTCCAGGCAGCGCACCGCTGCCTTCTCCCCTGAGCCCAGGCCGTGCGCGCGCGAGGCGGTGCTGGGCCGCTGCCGGGCGCTGGACGTCCCGGGCACCGCGATGCCGGTGAAGTCCATCCGGGGCTGGGTCGAGGTCCGTCCCGGAGGCCGGTGGCCCGCGCTGTCCTTCTGCAGCAGAACCACTACGTCGCCGTCCTTGAGGCCATAGGAGCCCAGGGAACAGTGGTCGTCAGCCAGGAGTCGCTCCATGAAGACAATCTGTATCTCCTGGGCAGGGACCCCGGACTCCAGCTCGCAGAGGACGCGAAAGTTGCGGAGCTCAAAGTCGGGGCTGACCTGGACTGAGAAGGTCGCCTCTGAGAGGTCCCTCCGCACGCAGTACACGTTGACCAGCATGGCCAGGGCCCGGGAGGGCTGGGTGGGCCGCGGGCATCGGGCGCGTCGCCGGCCGGCTGGAGCTGGTCTGCGGGGCTGGCTCCACCGCTCCGCGCGCCAAGGTGTGTCCTGGGCTCATTCACCTTTCCAAGAGGCGCGGACCCTCGCCCGCCGGGGACCCTCACCCGCGGGGGCTGCCTCCCAGCCTTAGTGCAGCTCCTGGCCCCTGGAACCTCCTGGTGACGCCAGCGTTCTGAAGCTCCTTTGCAGGCGTGCATGGAACTTAGAATGCCTGCTCCCTCCCGCGGGAACAAAGGCACTCAAAGTCTTAGGTGTCCAGCCCTTCAAAGCCTGTGTGTCACAGGGTAGGAAGGAGATTGTTTCAACTTTTTTAAAAGAGCATGTTATCATTCATTTGTTCATTTTAGAATTGCGTTCTAAGTGCTTTACTCCCCTCCCCACCCCCACCCTTGCTCCCCCAAACAGTAAAGATTGGTTCTCTACATTCTGTGTGAAGGGATGAGTCACGCTCAGCTTCTGCCATTGGGGAGCCCACACCCTGTGAAAGGACAGGCAGTGAATGGGCCAGTCTCGTACTAGAAGTGAGCACTTTACAGACATGCAGCTTCTACTCTGTACTCTACCAACAGAACAGAGGATGCTTTTCTAAAAAGGAGACTAGCTGGATGTTGAGAGATGAGCACTTTCCAGATGAAAAGTGGTTGAGGGTCACTCCAGATGAAAGGAATTACACATTTCAAAAGCAAAAATTCATGACAAGGCCTCTTCTTTCTAAAGAAAAGTAAGACTTTCTATGCAATAGAAGAAATTTGTACATGAATTTGAGTGGCAGGATCCAACACTGGGAAAAAATGGTTGGAGCCAAAATTATAAAGAGGCCTATGTTAGAAAGAGCCATTTAAATCCAAGGAGTTTAAGTATTATCAATAACAAGAATCCCCCCCCCCAAAAAAAAAAGAAAAAGAAGAAAGGAAGGAAAAAAAGAAAGGACAGAAAATGGAAAACATTTGAAACAGGAATTTGTAATTTGTTTTGGATACTTGGAGGACATACGTAATGTGGCTGGAGGCCACTTGGGAGGCTTTTTAACCAAAGAGGGGGGTCTTGCTAGAATCTGAAAACCCAAAGAGGACTGAAGTCTAAACCAGTGTTTTTCAAACTTCTTTTATCTCATGGAACACCTGAACCTATAGTTAAACTTCCATTAACAAGTTATGTTGATAAAAAAAAAAAAGTTTAAAAAATAATATATTTACTGTGCTTTGAACTTCTTTTGAAATTAATTAATGATCTTTAAAAATTTTTGCAGCACACTTAAGATCCCCTCAAGGCACACCAGTTGGCTGAGGAACACCAGTTGAAAAAACTGGTATAACTAGCAGAAAGGAAAAATGATGCTTGAGTAAAAAGAGCAAAATGTGTTAACCCAGTAGAAGTGGGGAGGTCAAAGGATCTGAGTGTGTGAATAATACAGAGAGTCTCTACAGTAGAACACTGATCTGGAAAGGAGTAATGAGCCAAACCTTTGACGTGACCAATTTGACATTGATTCTATAGTAAAATACATCACATATGGCCCCGGAGTCCAAACATCTCTTTCTCTGAAACTAAGGCACAGCCACTCACCCCCCTCCACACATGCACACACACACACCCCTCAGAGTGGAATCTCTTGAGTAAGGTAGAGAAGTCCTTCAGAGCAAATGGCAATCAGAAAGAAATCCCTTGCATGCTGGCCATTTTTCTCTGTGTTTCATAAAGCATTTTGTACTGTAAAAAGCTGTGCTTCCCATGCTGGGTTACTAGGTCTGTGCACTTCATAAGTCTGCTGACTCTTCCTTTAATCAGGAGAGTCAACAGCATCTTCCTGGGTCCCCTTCCCTATTTTGAGCATTGTCAGAAGCCTGTACCAATACACCAATCCAGAGAGAAGGATGTTGCAGCAGTCTGAAGAATTTTTTACTTGGCTTCTATTCCTCATGTGTTGGTCTCAGATGGAAGACTGTGTCTCACTTGTTCTAATTATCAACATGTGTCCATATATGTATTCGTTTGAACTACAAATATTGACTGAGTGCCCAGCATCTGTGAAGCACATGCTGAGTGCTGGAGACACAGACGTGAATGATGTGAAATGCAGGCGGCATTCTGAAAAAGGCCCCCAGTCTATAGGAAGACACATGCTCACATACACGCTGGAGGCAAGAGAATACCACAGTGGAGCCTGCACGCCTCAGCAGAAATTAATAATTTTTGGAGAATTGATGAGGAAGGTGATAAGGGATGTTGGTCAGGGAAAGCTTCCTGGAAGAACTAGGCGTGGAAGGAGGACAAGGTGTTAATCACGCAGGGTGAACCAGGGCAGAGAAACACAGGCTGAGAGAGAGGACCTGAGTTATGGCCTTTAACTGGAAGGCAGTGCTTCATAATGTGAGGATTTTTTAAATTGTAGGAAAAAACATGTAGCATTATAATTTTCTTCCTATTTGTAGAAGTGAATGGCCCTTTGACCCAATATGAAATGAAAGGTGCAAGCAGCGATACCCAAAGATGAGACTGGAGCAGAGATGTTCAGACAAGATTTATTGAAAGGGGAGGGTGACCCACCTGGGCAGAGCAAAGGTGGCATCTGTGCCTGGGGGCAGTTAGAAGGGACCCCTTTTATATGGGGCAAATGGTGGGTGAATTATATGGTGGTGGGCAGATTCCACAGCTTGCTTGGAGGGCTTTGGTGAGTTAGGGTCCTTTGGCACCAACTTCTCAGAAGTGGGATAACTAGTCCTTTCTGTCTTTGTCTTAGGAGGAGAGGTGGAGAGAGGGAGAGAGTGAGAGGAGGAGCAGGAGGAGTTTGTGTGGGGTTGCATTAGGCCCCCTAACATTAAGTTTTTAATTTTCCTCTGTGGTTCTTAGTATCCTGATAAGTTTATCTGAGATCACTAATAGTTTGTCCTGATTTGGGGAACAACCATCATGTGAGGTGTCACATGCAAACTGCTTTGCTGAAGAACAGATTGAGAAATCAGTGAGACTTGGGTTTAATGTTCTTTTTCTTTTTCCCTCAAGTTGCTTTGTACAGTTTGTTCGTAAAGCCATAATAACTTGGGATAATCCTAGGGCTTTGGGTTTTTTATATAAATAGTGGATACTATTTATGTAGAATAAGCTTTTTATGGGAGTTCACATTAAAAGAAACTGACATCTTTTAAAAATACATCACCATTGCCTCGATACTGAACATATTTAAGTGTTATATGATATGTAAAACTCTTTACTTTGGGTGGCATTTTGCATTTATATGCTTTTTAACTATTTTATATTTTACTGAGAACACAATCTGGAAAGGAAAACCATCTCAAAATCTGGCCAAGGAACTGTCGTCATGCTGTAGGTCACGGGACGTCAGGCCTGGCAGAAATCCTTTGGGTCTTGTAGTCCAGTCACCCATCCAGGCCTTAAACCTCTTCATGAAACATCATAGAATCTGAAAAGATAACACAGTCTCCTGGGGCTGTGGGGGACTCCTGTTTACATGTTTTTGATTCTTTCATTTTACTCATTACGACAGGTGATTCAAATAGTATGTTTGTAATTCTCTTAGCTCAAAATTTTAGTTTAAGACATCTCCTGGCTGTGTAATGAATCTAAAGGTCATTGAGAGTATATATAAATAGCCTTAAATATAAGCTGTTGTTATGCTATAAATTCTTATTTCACAGACTGTTGAGAAATCGATGATATGAATTATAGGTGTATTAATCTAGGTAACTGAAGATTATTGAAACTATTCTGGAAGAGTTTTTTTGAGGTATATTCTCTTACTTTTTGTCCTTAGTACAACGTAGGAACATAATTGAATCTTTCTATGATAAATGAAACTCCTTCAAGGTTTCAGGCCTGTCACCCAGAAATCAATTCTCATTGTGTGTCCTAAATACCCGGAAAGTAGACGAGATGACGCTGATTTCATGTTGGCCAAGTAAATAACCCCAAAGTTATCTTTTTGGAATAAATCCACAATAATACCTTTTATAATTTATCTCTTTCTAAAAATCTAATGCAGGAAAAAAAATCCAGATAATTTAGGGTTCTACTTAGTGCAGTCAGTTGATATTTAAATTACTATTTATTGCTTTACAAAGTAAATAAATGTTTTTTTCTATGAAAAATATAGCCTATCTGCATAAATGTCACTATGTGACCTATACAAGAATTAAAGCATGGTAAGTAAGTACATTTACTTGCTATGTAGGGATTCCTTTCTCTACATTTGTATGGTATTACCTCTAAATGTAATCCAGGCTTACAAGACACTTAAATCATAACTTACCAAGACAGTTAAATCATCACTTGAGATTCTCAGTGCAATTTAGAGAGATGCAGAATTTTTGAAGCTGTTCTCTTAGGTTAAATAACTATTTTTTCCACTGTTCTTTTATTTACTTTACAATAATATGGTAAATTGTTCCAGAACAGTCATAAATGAATAACACACATTTCTTCAGAAAGTTAATTTATTTAATAGGCACATTGAAAAGTTCTATAATGAATTAACACCGTTAGTATCCTTTGCATCTGCTCAAGAATACGTGAACCATCTTTAAGAAATCTTATGTGTTAAAAGCAAAGAATTTTCCAGTAGGACGGCGTACCAAGTTAAAATAAGAAACATTACCTCCTACTTGAAGCTCAGTAGAAATGCTGCATAAAATATTTTCAGGTTTTTCCTAAGCCCTTATTGTTAAGGGCTTATTTAGTCCATATATGTTTAAAGAATTTTACACATAAAAAGTCCATACACGTATTTACAAAAAAAGAAAAAGTGCTATAATGAAAGTCTAAGCTTTTGTTAGTAGTTTGGACTATGAAAAATAGAAGCTTAGAGTTGCCTGTCTTTGAAGTTTGAACACCATGGTAAGATCTATTAAATACACACATATATAAACAGATATATGTAATTGAAGAAACTCATGAATTCTGGGAATTTAGTTTGTATTACTTTG